TTTGGAGGCCTAGCTTTGTCTCTGCAAGGTATCCTGGTTTTGGACTGACAGTTAGAATATGTTTCCCTGCTTTCTGAAAGGCCCATACTCTATCTGCGAGGGTCATCCCCAGGGTCATCGATGTTGAAAGGTTTGGGGTATCCATTTACATCGGAAATCTTAAGTGCATAGCGCTCGCCCTTGTTTGCTGCGAAGCACTGAAGTTGGTACCTTGGCCAGTGACTTCTTCTGTCATCTATGGCCTTGGCCACCACCCCACTTCACTGCCTTCAGGACAAAGGCGAAGCTTCCCACTACGTGTAGCGCACGTGCTGGTCGACCGTGGCCATCTTCTTTGCCAAGCCCGCCAGCACGTCTCCGGAGTCATGGAGGTAGCGCTGAACCGCCGAAGACGTCCACCTTCCCGTCCTCTTGACAACTTCGATCTCGCCCGTGGCTTGATACAAAGCCGAGGCACCCCCAATCCTGAGCGAATGCGATTGGAACCTCTCGGCAGGTAGGCCCAAGGCTTTGGCTGCCTTCTGTAGCAGGTTCTGGATCTCCAGTGTCGCTTGATCACAGAATCCTGCCCCCTGACCACCATCTCCTCATCAACTCCACTTGAATCGGCAAACTCCCGGGCTCGAAGCATGAAGAACCAGGCCGCCTGAATCATTCGGCAATCCACCTTGAGCTCCCCGATGGACTCCGCTCCTGCTGCCAACTGCGCGCCAAGCCACTTGAGCATCTGCACGGTGGCTCCCAACCGTCTTGGGCGCTTGACGGAGTGCTTCTCCAGCGAATTGAGAACAATCCACAGCCGGTGCATCTTCGTGGTGGTGTCCCTGTGCCCTGCCCTCTTATGTGCATCCTTGATCGCAAGACAGCCTGCTTCATTGTGGCTGCAGAAGTTCCCAGCCAGCCTGGTAGCCCAGGTACCCGAGGACCTTATTCTCATTCTGAATCGGGTCGCCCCCAACTGACAACCGTCCCTGCCTCTTGCTCCAATCACACCACTTGTGCCAGGCAGACAGGTAGGCCTTCTGCACGCTCTCTGCCTTGTCACCTGTGAGATGTGCTTCTAGCCACTCCTCATGCAATTTGTGCCTGAATCTCCATGTCCGGGTTGAAGTCGGGGTTCAAGTCGACAAAATGTCCACCATCCTCGACAACCATCTTCACTGGACCCTGTCGGCGCCCTCCGCATCTCCTCTCCTCGATGCCCTCGAAGCTGCCGATCTCGATCTCCAGGGCGCTCAACCATAGGTCCGCACCCCAGAACCAAACTTGCCCAACTCCTTCCGCGAAGCCTCCTGCCTTGCGGTCTGGCGCTGCTCTTCCGAAGTCCCCTCTTCTCCATCTACGGAGCCATTGCAGGAGTGAACCGAGGGTCTTGTAATCCTCCCGGTCAATGCACATGCCAGCCTTGGTCTCCCTGGCCTCCTTTGCCAACTCCGCCGCGACCCCGATGAGGTTGAGGGCAGTCCTGCGTCCAGTGGTCTTACATCCTTCCTTCTCAGCCTCCACCTCTCCAATCTGGGATACGAGGTCGTGCCACTCGTCCGGTCGCCTGCCCTGCAGGACCCACACTTCTTCGCCGGAAAGCACCCTCACTTTCCCGAGTGGAGCCGCCTTGTCCTGCACGAAGATCCGTTGCATGCCCTTCTCAACTGGGTCGATCAAAGACCATCTGCCAGGACCCCCCATCGAGTAGACATTGCGCCGGTGTCCTTCTGGGCTCAACCACAACTGGCTCACTTTTAGCTGAGGTCCAAAGGGCCCAGCCAAAAAAACTAGCAATCAAGAGGGTTTGCTGGGTAAGCTAACACTGAGTGGTTGCCTTTGAGCTCCCAGCCTTTGAGCTCCCAGGGCAAAAAAACACACACTCTGACATTGGTTTTCAGTTAATCGATTCCCAAGTGGAAAAAGGTGAGGGAACAGTAAGGCGAGCAACGCGTGACCTTACTACAGAAACATGATGCCAATTGATTCTGACATATTCTGACAATTTGAGTAACTCAGAAGTTTCACCATACAGGCTAGAATGCAACTTTGTGATGCCCATAAATCCCGCGTTTGTCACGCACATGCCACCGTCTAACCAAGCAGGCCGCTGACTTCATTTTTTCTTACCGTTGCTGCTTCAGCGCCGCCCGTCAGCTCTTCCTCACCTTCTTGCTTTCAGGCTCCTTCTTTGAATCCTCACCACCAAAAAAACATCAAAGATTGAAAGGCTCCCCCTGCCAACCATCTAGATACACTACTAGATACTAGAATCCCTAAGATGGTGCCAACAAACACAAAAGGAGCAAATCAACAAGCAAACAGAAACGTAGAAGAACCAGAGCAACCAACTCACAAAGTTTGAAAGCAAGGAACGCTTGGGCATGGCCGCTGCCGATGTGAAGATGAAGAGGAAGTGGAAGCAACAGTCTGTAGAAGCTCCGCCTCGACCACCTGGAATGGAAAAGAAGAATGAAATCCCTCAGACAAATTGCGTAAAAACAATTTTTTTTAGCTTAGCGTGAACCAAAACGGAATATGCAGGAATGTTTCTTTCCACTTTGCGCCTGCCTTCCTCGCTGCCCTCTCATCCTCAAGAGCATATTTGGCTTGCCACGCCAAGTTCAGCAATGTCACATTGTCTTCTTTCTTGTTCAACACCTCACTCTTCAGCTGGTCATTCTCTGATTTCTGGTGCGCTACGTGTTTCTTCAGCTGCTCATTCTGCACCGCCAAAACAATTGTTGTAGCCTTTTCCTGCTGAAGTTCCTCCTGTGTTGCTACTAGCGCAGCGCGATCTTCTTCAGCCTTGTTCTTCTCTTTCTCAAGCTGCTCACGACGTCGTCTGGCTTTGCGATTTAAATCGGTCAGAGTTTGATTTTTTCCCATCGGGCAAACTAGCAGAGCAGGATAAAGATAGTTTCGGTACTACTTGCTGCAGCCAAGTTGGCAGTAAGGACACAAAAGAAAATTGCATGTGGATTCCCTGGAGAACCGTTTTTTCCAAAACATGCCTTTATTGCTTTTCCGATTGTCTCACGCATTCTTTGCTTTTATGAACTGTGCTCTGAGTTCAGGATGGTCAGGAACTGCCGAACTACTAAGGAAGACTAAGGATTCAACATGCTAAGGGCCGGACTAAGGATCCCAAGAGCACTAAGGGCCGCACTAAGGAATGACTAAGGATTTGACTAAGGGCCGCACTAAGGATTTCTAAGGTTTCGTGAACGACGATCTCAAGGCGCGAAAATAAGAAACATTTAGGCCCCGCTGCGAAGCGGATTAGCCCTGAGAAGGGCATTCCTTTTTCTGGGACCTGACATTTTTTTTGCCGGACTCTCTGTGGACTGCACGACCCAAGATTTGGAGGAACCAAATCTTGGCTTTAAGTTGAACTTCATATAAGTTGAACTTACCCACCAAAACTTGGCCAACACCAAGTTTTGGAGGGCAAGTTCAACTTATATGAAGTTGAACTTAACCGCACCAAAACTTGGAACCCAAGTTTTGGAGTATAAGTTGAACTTACCCACCAAAACTTGGTACCGAGTTTTGGAAGGAAAGTTCAACTTACTTGCCCACCAAAACTTGGCACCGCCAAGTTTTGGAGGAAAAGTTTAACTTAAAGGTTGAACTTACCCACCAAAACTTGGTACCGAGTTTTGGCAGGAAAGTTCAACTTACTTGCCCACCAAAACTTGGCACCGCCAAGTTTTGGAGGAAAAGTTTAACTTAAAGTTGAACTTACTCACCAACACTTGGCACCGCCAAGTTTTGGAGGGAAGTTCAACTTAAAGTTGTTCGGGGGTGCAGTTCGACGCTTAGTTCACCACCCTTCAAGCCTTGAACCGAGTTTCCATTCAGAGCATGGTTTTTTCACATGTGCAATTCCTTGGCTTGGCCAAACAAAGAATTCATTCAAGATGATTAATTAGGTGGTTTGTTTTGTGTCCTGATTCACCCTCACTTCACTTCACTCAACCTGATTTCACTCAGACTCGTTGTCATTCTTGTTCAGCTGCTTTCAGATGTCCGCTCATGGCTTCTAGCAAATTCAAATTCGGCCCTCAATACTTAGCGCACACTTATTTGTAGATGTCTTTTGTGGAATAGTTGAATCAGAAAAAGCTGGGCCCCAGGCGCTGGATCAATG